CAAGACATAGAGGGCTTCTTTCTCTCCTTTGCATATGCCATTTATTCCTACTGCAGAAGTTTGAATCCGATGTTCCTTTTGCTTGTAATGATTATACTGGATCTTCATACTGTGACTTCTTTAGTATATTAGTCCCACCAAAATGTCAACTTCCCTGGAAATGCCATCTGAACATTCCAGTGATTGATAGCAAATTTCTCTCCCCAACTCACTCCCCCACATTATTCTGTTTTATTTCCTTTGCAGCCCTCATTATTACTTGAACATTTATCTTTTACTTGTGTATTATTTAAGTTTTTCACTAAAATGTAAAATCCCTGTGACCAGCTGTGTACCCATTGCCTAGAGAGTGTCTGGCAGAGAGAAATCAAATATTAGTTAAGTGCTGAGCAGATGAATGGGAAGATCATATCAAGCGCAATGAATGAAATGGTTCTAGCCGGGCTTGGGGGCTCAGCCTGTAATCCTAGCACTTTGGGAGGCCGAGGTGAGTGAATTGCCTGGGCCCGCGGGTTAGAGACCTGCCTGGGCAACTTGGCGAGACCTCATCTCTACAATAAATCAAAATTAGCCAAGCATGGTAGCGCGCGTCTGTAGTTCCAGCTACTTGGAAGGCTGAGGTGGAAGGATCTCCGGAGCCCAGCGGGTTGAGGCTGCAGTGGCCAGGAGTGGCCATTGCACTCCAGTCTGGGTGACAGAGTGAGACTTCAACTCAAAACAAAAAACAGAAAACAAACAATAACAACAACAAATGGTTCTACAATCTATTAAGTATTGTACGAATACCAGATGCATAATTTCTCACCTCTATTAAGTCACAGCTCTTCTCAAACCTTTGTCAAAGTAAAAGGAGCATAATCTTCAGCCAGAAACTCTCTTTCAAATAGGAACTTACTTTCCAGGATCTTACAGTCTAATGAAAGTCAAGATTAGTACAAGAGTAGAATTAAATTTCTTACAAAAATGTAAGCTAACCTGCATTTATTTTGCTGAGGTAAGTTTCTTGTCTTGCACCTGCTGCCCTATATAACTATATGGGTGCATGCATGTCACACAAAATTACTGAAACAAAGGGTTCATTATGGAACTACAGGAACTGTATGGAGAACGAGACTGTTAAATAGTGTTTACAAGGAAAGAGACCAGGACTGATCTACTTGGAGATGTTTTTCAGGCCCACAACAATCCCCAAACTGAACTCACTACTTCATCCTCCCCACTCCCAGCCTCCTTCCCTTCCCAGGTTGCCTATCTCAGAGGACAAAAGCATTGTGCACCAGCTGGGCCAGCCAGAAACCTCTGGGAACATGCTCGGCAGCTTTCCCTCCTCTCATCCACAGCTGTAAACCTCCTGAATGGCGCTGGAATCTGGCTGCTTCATTGCATTTTCAGTACCAGTATCTAGGCTATAGTTTCGTCTCACCTAGGTTATTTTAACATAAGTAATCTCCATCCCCTCTGTTCTCTCCACCCTTTCTAAACACACTAATGATCTGGTCACTCTCCAGTGGCTCCCTCTTTCCTTTCTAGCAAGGCCACGAGCCCTCTTGGGATCTGGTTCTACTTCTCTCTCACTTTTGAGACCCCTGCCTTCACTCTCCACCAGGGGTGAACTGATCTCTGCTGCCCAAGTGCAGTATGTTTTCTGTCACCTCCACTGATTTCAGTACCTCATTCAATCTCTACGGATCTTTTTTTCCTTAACTAACTTTTATTTATTCTTCAATCTTGTCTAAAGCCAGATACCACTTCCTCCGGGAAGACTGCCAGAACTCCTACTCCCCAAAGTAATGTTGGTTCCCTAGTATTACAGTATTGAGAATTATACTTTATTTTTCTAGAATATTATTCTGGTTCCTATCATTTGTTTTTCAAATTCTGCTTGACCTGCCCAGGCATTTTTTATTGCACCTTTATTTTTCCTCTGTCTTTTCTCTTCCACTACTGCCTTCTTGCTTCCTTTACTGCCTCTCATTTGACCTCGCAATCTCTAATCTGTGCTAGTATTTGCGTTTGTTTTTTTTTGTCTCCAGGTTTCCATAGCCCTCCGCCCACCACGTCTCCTCACTTCTTTCTTCTTTATCCCAATCTAAGAGTCCTATTATTTGGGGCCACAGTCATCAACATTAGAGTTTCTAAGTCGAATGATTTAACATTGGCCAACTCGTCAATCTGAAGAAAAACTTGCTTAACATTGGAGTTTTTCACCAAAGCTGAACCCTACTTCTTCTTTTAGGAGTTCTCATTATCATTAGAATCACCACAGTGTGATAGAAGGTAAAATTATCTTTCTGATTAAGATGGGAGAGGAGTAGAGAGAAAAGTTCATCCACCAAAGCCAGTCTCATTTTAGAATATTCTTATCTTTTAATTCTTAAAAAAAATATTTCCCATCTATTTTCCAAATGTTAGCAACTAAGAGGGTGTTATCAGGGGTCTAATCATCGAAGCAAAGAGAAGAATATATTTAGAAAACAGAGACCATCTCTCATTCTATAGCTTCCCACACTTATCACAAGGATCATGTTGTCTGTGTTCCATCCCTTCTGGTCTGGATGTTGTCAGCACTCATTTATATTGGTGGCACACGATTGCTTTCACTAGTCATTGGATACACCTGTCAAATCACTGGAAATATGGAGGTACTAGTGGGTTCCATGCTTGAAGGCTACTTCTCCCAGTACAGGGAAATCAGGCATTCGTATGAGTTTACACATTGGTGTGTAACTATCGTAATTTAACAATAACAGGTAAATCACATATAAAGGGACAATAATGAACTGTTATCTCAACGCACAAATGATTCCCTCTTTTAGGAATTCTAACTGCCCTTAGAGTACCTGCAGGTTGAATATGGCAATCATTGCCCCAGTACAAAGGAGAGAAAGACATCCATATTAGAGGATTTGTGCATCAGTGGTGTTTTTCTAAATAGTAATCTATGCAAATTAGATCAATTATTTGGTGGAAAGCCCATGATGCCAGGACAAAGTAGAGATATTGGTTAAGTAATATGAAGTGAGTTTTGGGTAGACTATTGAAAGAAAAGCAGAAGAAACAAGGTATCATCTATAGAGTTATCTTCATTGAATTTGCCTTTTAAATGTGTACACAGTGTGATTAATATTAGCCTTACCAATGTAGGTATCAAAAGTAATCAATTATCTTTTAAAAGTCCATTATTCTGTGGGTACTGAATATTTTCTAAGCACTGTGATCATGCTGTAAACATATAACATCATTCATTTCTCATCCTCCTACCAGAGAAGTATTTGTTATTTCCTACATTTTCCAATGAAAAACCTGTAAGTCACCAGCAGAGCTGTGGTCCTTTCCAGTGTTTTGTTTGTTTGTTTTGTTCAAAGCCCAAGCTCTAAACTACTGAGCTTTACTGTCTGCTCATGTGTACTTTCTGGGATCAGATTGCCAAGTGTGTGTCACAGCTCCTCCCTGAAAGACTTTGGGTTAGTTGCTATCCTCTCCGTGGCTCAGTTTGCTTTTCTGAAAATGGTGAATTTTCAAGTCTGATTCGTACGAATGTTGTAAATCTCAACTAGCTTCCTTCAAGTAAAGTGCTTAACAAAACCTGATGTAGTAAACATTTAATGTTGTCTGTTATTACGTGATATCAAAATAGACTGTGCTACATGATAAAAAAAATCTTTGCTTAGCTCTACCTTTGTCCCATTTTGACATCCTAATTAAAAGAATAGTAATGAATTAGCAGCTAATCAGCAAAGATACACGTTTGGGCAGAGTTGCTAAATTCTGTCCGTTCTATTCAGTCATCATCTGAAGAGAGTTTGGTGAAAATTAGGTGTTCTTTCCGTTTTATAAAGAGTGAGAGGGCAACTTAATTTCCTTCACCTGCTTTCACAGTGCTTCCTTTGAAACTTGTTGTGAATGGAATTGTTGGGTCCTTGGCCAAAAAACTCCTGTAAGAAAGATAGCGTTTCACTGGAGCATCACAACATAGTGATAGAGCAGGCATTAGTCTTGAAGTCAGAGCTACCAAAATATCCTAGTTTTGCCTTTTGCTAGCTTTGTGACTCATAGGCAAGCTAAAGCAATTTTATGAAATCCAGTTTCCTCATAAAGAAAATAGAAATATTTCTTTCAGAGCAAGTGTTCTCCACTGGAGGTCATTTTGCCCTCAGGAGACATTTTGGCAGCATCTGGAGACATTTTTAGTTACCTTGACTGGGGAAGGGACGAGTGGATGGAGGCCAAGGATGCTGCTGCACATTCTGCGATGCACAGGACTGTGCCCATGAGAAATTATCCAGCCCAAACATTATGGGCTGAGATTGACGTGCCCTGACTCAGAGTGATGTTAGGATAAAACGAAATGTTTGAAAAGCTTAGTATCACACATGATACATGGTAACTGCTCATAGTTCATTAATCCAGCAAGTTGTTGTTGTTTTTTACACTGCCATTTGCCAGGCATTGTCACTAGTGTGAGTCTCCAGCCCAGGCCTTATGATCAACCAACTCACATTGAGATGCCTGTGGTTGATTCTTCTGCCATAGACACATGCAGGTTAGAAGGCTTTTTAGATGTTGGTTATGAGTAAATCTATGTTGGACTGTCAGCTTCCCTGGCACCTGGGAACCTTTAGTCCTCTTACCTCCTGGGGTGAGAATTAGCATTTCAGCAGCATAATCCCTGCTTCTCTTCACTGGTTGTAAGGATTCAATGAGATGATGCAAGTAAAGTGCCAGGCAATATAGGTGCTCGAGAAACATAGGTCCATGTTACCACATAACCTCTCCCCGACCCCCATTGAGCATGTGGTCATATTTTTCACCAGGAAGCTTCTTTCTCCGAACTACTCTGTCCTGTGTTAACCTTCACTGTAATCAGCAATGGACTCTTCCTGATTTTTTTTCTCTCTGATAATGTACTGTTCAGATGTGAAATCCTCTCCAATTAGTTGGGTTTGATTTATTTACCTTTTGCTCATGTGGCTGCACACCTTCCCAGCTGTGCCCCTGACATGGTCACAAACAGGACTCCAGACCAGACTCCAGGCTCCCACACTTGCTGCCATGCACCTTTCCCTCTCCAGGATCCTCGCTGGAAAATGAGAACACCCAGGGCCTCCAAGGTCTCACACTCTGTGGTTCTGTTTCCAAACCACCACTGTGGCCCTCTGATCCTGCCAGCAGGGGGCTTCTGCATCCACGTCCTGGTGGCCTTCTTGTGGCCGTACTTATGCATTCAGAGTTGTCTGCTGAGCTCCAACTTTCTTCAAAGTACTTTATGACTCATAAATGTTTTACGACAGTTCTTCTATTTCACCTGTTTCTCTCATAAAATTCGTGGTGTTCTCCAGTTCTTGAACAATTGCTCTGGGTTCATTTGGTTTTTGATTTTTAACAGGAGGATCAATGGAAGTTTAGATTTGCAGTTGCCAGTAAACTATAGATCACTGTGTTTGGCTTTTTTTTCTCCCTGATGGGGCGGTATCACATACTAGTTGGCTGTTGAATATTCATTAAGCAGTATTAGCAAATAGCATATCTTAATTAACTAGCAAAGGGCTTTTTTACGACCTAATTAAATGTACACTTCAAACACTGTTGATTCTCACCAAGGCAGCCCAGGTAGAACTGAATAATGGTGGAGCATTGTGAAATACCCCCCACATCAGGAAAAATACCACTAACACTTTATCCTTCATTGAGTCCTTTTCAGTTACTTTGAATGGCCTGGAGAAAAGAAACTTAAATTTTATATATAAATATAAAGAAAAAAGATGTAAGGAAGCTTAGATTTTTAAGTTGTTCAATTAGTTATTTACTATTAAAAGTTACTGAAGGGTTGGACTCACTGGGACAGTCATGTCTTATAGTCAAGAGTTTAACCCTTTCATACTATTAATACTTTCAAATATTTTCCCAGAAACTTTTCATGGCATAGGATATTGTGTAAATCAAAAAGAACAGAGGCTTTGTATTAAAACATCTGGGTTTGATTTCTTGCCATTTGCCAACTTTTAACTTTGGACCAGCTAGTAACCACTTTCAGCTGCCATTTCTTCTTCCATGCAAAGAAGACTAGCATCTGCCTAATAGGATTGCTGTGGCGATTAAATTGTGTAAAGCACAATAACAGGTACACAGAGGATTACCAATAATATCTATTATTATTATGCTTGGTTTCTGGTTTTGGAGGGATAGCTATTACTTTGTTCACTATTGGGTTCACTACGCAAAACAGGTAGCAAGAGAGCTTCATTGTGTCTCTTCAGAGTGTTAGTTAGTCAAATGTGTTGGGACTAGAGTAGCAAAGAGGCAATCATTCCAGAGAAGAAACAAGTTATCTATTAGGTAGCTTAGCCATAGTAATAGTGCTTTCCCACCCCAAAGCCTTGGCCAGCATTAGCACTAGAATTGCACAGGTGCTCAGAGGATGGAAAGGATAAATTAAACAGATATTAAGCATGTTGATATGATGCTTACAACTCTAATCACAACACAAAATTAACTATCACTAGATAAAGCAAAAAAAGAATATGTAGGCTTATAAAAGTATAAACCTAAGAATGGGGCCAACTTAAGATACTGCTAGGTGTAAGTCTCTGTCTCTTCTCTATTTCAGTTTCACCTGTCTCACTTGGCTTCTTTCTAAATGAATGTCCCCTTCAACAGGTATGGAAGGTAGCCATTGGACTCTCATACACCTAGCTTGGCAAACTCCCAAATCATAAAGCACATATGACCCATGTATTTCAGCAGAACCATTCCAGTGAGAACTCAAATCCACCCAGCTTGAGTCACAAGCCCATGCCTGAATCACCCACTGTGGTCAGGAGGTAGGGAGTACTCTGTTCAGATATGGGCCATGAGTGCCCCCACGTGAGCCAGCATGATACTATGGTGGACGGGCAGTTTCTCAGGACAACATGAGAGGGGGAAGGAGCATCTCTAGGGGAAATTAAGGAAGAAAGGGACAAACTATAGTTATTACACACTCATTTTATTCTAAGAGAACAAAGATGCCTAGATATTGATTAAGAGGAATTGTACACTTTGGTGGATTTGTTCCAGGTTATAAAAACTTGGTGAAGAAAAATAAGAGTTGCTAGGATGAAGAGGACCAGGAGGAAAAGGGGTCAGGATGGGCTACAGAACATGTAGTGGGCAAATAAGTAATTTTGGGCAGAGGAAATCATACCTGAAGGCTTAGCTGAGGCTAAGATGAAGAAATAAAATGAGGAAGAAAGAAAAAACAAAAAGGATTTGGAAAATTGAATGAATATATCATTAAGGACTGCTTGAAAAAGCAAGGCAGTAGACCAGAGTCAAAATTCTGGGTTTCTTGCTTTGTATAGATCATTGCATTGCTTAAAACCCAGCATGTGGAAAACCTGAGCTGGAAGAGCAGGTTACAACATTATCACAGAGGAGAATTATGTAAATAAAGACCATGGGTTGAATGGCTTAGGAACATTAATTTTAACTTAAGTTGTATATCACTTTAGGGATATTTATATTAATAAATATGAGTGATGATCAATGTATCTGTCTGTCTATCTATGTATCTATCTATATTTATGCACAAACACTTTAAAAATTCCGGATAAGCCTGTGAATTTTGTCCTTATCTCTGTTGGTCAGCATGATTTTGTCACATCTATATTAACTGTCTAGTTATATGCCTATAGTTGTCATTCTAATGACTTGCATATTAGAATTTTAAATCCTTTTGTTTTTTCTTTTTGGGTGGAAAGTTTACTCTCTCACATACAGAATTTTACTTTCCATGGACAGCAATTTGTTTTCTCTCTCCTTCAGAAATCTTGCAGATATTCACAGAGCATTAACTACCATGTGCTCTGACACCCTGGCCTGTATGTGCCCCAAAGTATACAGTAGACAAGAAGGAAACAAGTACATCCCTCACAGTTTGGTGTGGAAAACAGATGTTAATAAACCTGGAAACACACCTATATTTACACACTATGGTACTGTGAAAGCAGCAGGCAGGAGGTGGGGACTAGCTGATCTGGGGTTGGGGGGTAGATTGGTGATGTCACCGGGAGAAAGTAAAATTTAAGCCAAGTTCTTGAGAATGAGAAAAAGTTAAGCAGGTGGATAGTAGGATGAGGGCCTCTGGCAGAGGGAAGAGCAAACTCCAAACCCTGAGGTATAAAAAGGATGGCAGGGCAGGAATTGAACTGAGGTGAGGGTTTTCTTGTGTTCCTGTTTCCTGATTCCTCCAGTAGAGCACACATTCCCATTTGCACAGGTCGAGTGTCTTTCATTTCTTTTGCAACCCTCGCAGGGCCAGTGTTCTGGTTATTAAGGTGCTGTCTTTCTGCTCCAAACCCATCCCTTTATACTCTGTGTGTGATGCCAGGACTGGGATTCGGGTCAACATGCTGGCTAATCGCACTTTTCCTGTGCTCAGCTAGCACCCTGTTAGATGCTGTCAATCGGGGTGCTGGAGGAAGACTTAAGACATGAGGACACCGACTCCTTGATCCTGTCAGCACCAGCCCAGCTTTTATTTACCCCACAAACAGTTGGTTATGAATCCTTTTTTTTTTTTTCCTGTTAAACCCCCCCCCCCCCCGAGATAGGCCCCTTCAGGGACAGCAGCACAAGCAGGGCAGTCTGCCTTCCTCTGATACTTGGGTCCACCTCCACTGGATGCCTTTTATCAGCTTTTAGACTTCAGTAACTGTGTCCTCTTGTATTTGTCTTCTCAGATCTAAAGGTGGCAGCTGCCTCCTGTAGTCACTCTCTATCTTCTCAGTGTCTTTTTGCATTTTCACTGCTCCAATATCTGTCTCATTTACTTGTGTTAAATTTTCCCTGTGAAGGTAACTGGTGGGGTGTCTGTTTCCCTGACCAGTGCTGATGCATGGATGTTTTGCTGTCTGCTCTTGTTCATACTCACCGCTTAATGAAGAGCCCCAGCTGGGGCCATCCAAGGCCAAATGTCCATGAATGAAAAAGGTCATCCACAAGTAAGAAATGATGACTATCGAGCTTGAAGATGCATTTTTTCTCAGAAGCTCACACAGTCTGGCTATCCCCAATCTCCACCATGCAATATCTTTTCCAAGGTTAGCAGAACTATAAAAACATCAATTTGGTCATTATCGACTTTTTAACCGGGATACCAAGAAAGTCTTTCGGCAGCCTCGATAAATTAGATCTGGCCACCTAGCTCCCAGACTGGCAGGCTCCTCCATCATTGACAGAGAAGACAGGGGAAGGCAGTTTTCCCAGCTGTTGCTGTAAATGATGTGCATTGTGCTCACAGCCATTAGCAGGTGGAGAATTTGAAGTGTGGGTAGATTGCAGAGCTGCCTCTTTTAAAAATGCATAAGCACTTTGTGAGTTTGCTAAGTCATGTTTCACTCAGCTCAGTTTGAATTTTTCATAGGGGAGACGTATTCTGTAGTCTTTCCTGTTTTACTTCTTCCTGATCAGTGAGAATGGCCACAGTGAGGGCTGCAGTGGAAGGGGGCTGAGTCCAATCATACAATTTACTTGATTTGTTCTATTTTTCTAAGTTGTAAAATGCTTGAAGATTTGGGGCTCTAAGGCCTTGGGGCAACTGAGTGTCCTGCTTCTCCCCATTTAATCCAAAATATAAATTACCTCTTGTTCCAGATTTAAGTTTATTTGATGTATTTTCAAGTAAGTGTTTATCCTGAAAGACTCATCCATTTGTGAAAATTTCATAATTGCTGTAAAGATTCCTTTCTTCCAGAAACATCCCCTGGTCACACACTATGTGCTTGGGTCACTTACCACTCCCATGCCAAGTCAGATGCCACTAAGTACTGGATACCCGTTTCCTGATGCATTCAGCTGTGACATGAGTGTTCCTTCCTCCTTATATGATACCTAAGAATTAGTTGTGCAATATTGTGGTGGAAACAAAATAATCCTAATAGCAAGTTCCCGATTTGTTTTGTTGTGTCTGGCTTATGGTAAAAAAATATGGAATTAATGGAATAATTATTGTGTGCCACAAATTACAAGACAGACTTTACAATAGCTAAAACATTTAATTTTTTTAAAAGTCCCGTGAAGAGGATATTATTAATAGCCTCATTTTTCATGAGGCTCAGAGATGTGAAGTGATTTATGGAAGATCCTACAGCTGACAAATTGTGAGGCCTGACTCTGGAGCCTGAGGTCTGCTCTGCCATGCTATCAACTTGATACAGTTCAACATACGTGCTTGCTCTTTCATTCATCAGCATTTCTCAAATCTCTATTTTGTGTCAGGCACCAAATATGATACTGTATTCAATAAATTTAGCAATGACTTATTACAAAATAAGGCAAAACTATTAGGGTCTTTGACCAACAACTAGTTAATAACCCCCCCAAAAGGCAATAGATTTTTTGCTTTGCTAATATCAATAAATCAGACATTTCTTGGAATGAAATGGTTTTCTCCCCACATCTGGCTTATCAATTGTAACCTATGTTCTCCCCAAGTGGAGAGAATTATTCCAGCCGGTATTGAAACCTCAGCAAATTGGAAGCAAAATATGTTGCAATCTGAAGTATCAAGGTATTTATGAGATCATTATTTGCTATAATTGGGGGGATTCTAGAATGCTGTGAGTTACAGCACAGGCTTTCCCACATGTTCCAGGACTCAGAGCATCACAGGGGACTGCCAAGGTAAAGGAGGCTGGGGCTCACATGTGTCACTTCCATTTCTGATGTAAAAACTCTTTGCTTATGGTTAAGTTCTTGGGAAGAAGGTAGTTAGGGAGACAACCCTCCCAGAAAAGAAATGGGGTAGTTATCTTCTCACATTTGATTAGGTTTCAGACTTCAAGATGACTTTTCTTTTTTTTTTTTTGAGTTGGAGTCTCACTCTGTCACCCAGACTGGAGTGCAGTGGCCGCTCCCGGCCACCGCAGCCTCGACCTGCTGGGCTCCGGCGATCCTTCCGCCTCAGCCTTCCAAGTAGCCGAAATTACAGGCATGCGCTACCACGCCTGGCTGATATTTTGATTTATTGTAGAGATGAGGTCTCACTGCCTAGGCGGGTCTCGAACCCGCGGGCTCAGGCAATCCACTCACCTCAGCCTCCCAAAGGCACAGAATTACAGGCTGAGCCACCGACCCCGGCTCAAGATGACTTTTCATACAGCACTCTAGCCAGACTGCATTAATCTTGTCTTATTTGATTTCGATATAATATATGGACTTAGGAAGTCATCTTATGAATTATCTTGCCAAAATGGCAAAACATCCAAATGTTCTCATAAAATTTTGAAACGTGTGGTAGTATGACAGGCTACACTAAAATGAAGATGTTCTGTTCTCTTTAATAATGATAATGCCTAGAATAAGTAAAAAGTAATCCTTCTGTTTGCCCAGAAACTGGAAGATCCCATATGACATTTAAATCATCTATGATCATCCCAGCAACTCAGGGAGGAAAAAGCCACAACACTGCCAGGTTCCTGGCTTGGTGAGGATTTCGTGCAGTTTTCCACCTGAGTACACACAGAGCCCTCACACAATGGTGTTTGTGCTGTTAAAAATGGCTTTTAGTGAATACTCAGCTTCCCTTTTGAGTCCATTAAATAGAATGACCTTCCCATAGGGAAGGTAACTCTCAGGCACAAAGAAACAGGGCCTTGCTTTTCTACTGGTTCCTCAGGGTTTATAGACAAAATATTTTGTCATCTTGCCATTAGGTAATAGGCAGGTGTATCCTAGCTTATATTTCTTCTCTTATATTTCTTCTCCTTCTCTTTTCTCTCTTTCCCTTCTCCCTCTTTATTTTTTGTACAAGCTAAATTCAATTTCTGAACTTTCTCCAAAATGCTCAAACTGGATCAGCTCTGGTTTGAAGCGATTACCTTTTTTTAGCCCAATTCATTGGAGCCACTTCTCAGTTAAGTCATATTAGTGCAGGGATTGCCGAGTTCGGGGAGGCAGAAGCAGATCCTGCCTACTGAAGGTGAAAAACGATCTTCTCAAAATTCGTGCTGGCAGACAGAAGCCATTTTCTGTTGCTGGTGTTTTCAGTCACCAGATGGTACACGTTGAATGCTTTCTCTGTTGCATGAAAGATATTTATTTCTAATAACCTGAGATAACTGGGACATTACTGCTATTGTGATTCCTTTTGGCTAATTGGATTGTTGCACTTAATTTAATGGCTTTATAAATACAATGATTACTCAGTCACATTTTAAAAATTGGCTCGAAAGAGCAGATTCAGGTTAGAGATACTTTGGAGTTGTGGTTTTATATTTTGAAGGAGAGGTGGAAAAGAGCTTCAGAAAGAAGTTAAAGTTTGAACACTATTTTGAAGAAGAAACAGGAATTTTACAGGATAATTAAATAAAATAGTTGATTGTTATGGTGAAGGCATTTGGGAGATCTGTATTCAAATCCCAGCTCTGCAACTTACAAATTGTGCAAACTGTGGCAAGTTTTCTAAATACTTGGGGCCTTAGTTTTCTTGCATGGAAATTGATATTGGAATTACTGAGTTTGTAGAATTATTGTGAGGATCAGTGTGATGGGTGCACAGAGCTTAGATGAAGGGCATGCACAGAGTCATCCTTCCCCTGGCACTGTCATTCCCCTCTGTCAGCCTCCTGACTGCTACCACATGGAGCTTTGGATTAGGTTAACATCAGCTATGGAAAGAGGCCAGCATTTATGAAGCGCTTACTGTGTGCTACATACTGCATTTAAGAATTTCACTTGATTTATCTAACTCTTCTTTGCAACTCTAGGTAGGAAAATTACTGTCTTCATCCCACAGATGAGAAAACTGAAATTTTGAAACTTTAAGGGATCTACCAAGATGACAAATTTAATAAGTAATGTAGCTGGGTGTTCCTGACTTCAGTGTATATTTATAGCATATTTCCTCTTACACAGCATATCATCATTATTTATCTCCCCACATGGACTTGGCTTTGGGGTGCGCCTGGTATAACCCATCCTGTGAGCCACCTTGTGCCTCCCAAAAGCATTGCTCTGTGATGCCTGTGTGTGTGAGTGCTATGCAGCTACTGCAAGCTGACCTAGCTGTGATTAATCCCTTGGCTCTGTGCTTCCCTTGCAGGTGAGCCTTCCAGGTGGTCATCCTCACACTGTGATTGCTGCTGCAAGAACGGCAAGGGTGACAAAGAAGGAGAGAGTGGCACGTCTTGCAATGACCTCTCCACCTCCAGCTGCGACAGCCAGTCGGAGGCCAGCTCTCCCCAGGAGACAGTCATCTGTGGGCCTGTGACACGCCAGACCAACATCCAGACTCTGGACCGTCCCATCAAGAAGGGCCCAGTCCAGCTGATCCAGCAGTCAGAGATGCGGCGGAAGAGCGATCTGCTCCGGACTCTGACTTCAGGCTCCAGGGAGTCGAACATGAGCAGCAAAAAAAAAGCTGTTAAGGAAAAGCTCTCGATTGAGGAGGAGCTAGAGAAATGCATCCAGGATTTCCTAAAGATCAAAATTCCAGATCGCTTCCCCGAGAGAAAACATCCTTGGCAATCTGAACTTTTACGGAAGTATCATCTATAGGGGAGGGCGGGGGGGTGGGGAAAGAAAGAGCAAAACCAAGTCACCATTTTGAAATAAACCTCCTCAAAGAAATTCATATTTTAAAAGAAAAGATACAACTAATGATATGCATTTGTTAGAACACACTAGTCCATTGGTATACTACTGCCTACGTTACCTAGTTCACCTTAACATGTAAATCCACAGGGTAGATTTCTTTCTAGATGTGGAAGTACAAGAAAATCCTTTTTTAGTTGTTTGTTTGTTTACTTGGTCCCTGTGCTGAGTATCTTGTGCGTGATGAGAGCCAGCTACGTAAGAGTAGCTGAGAGGCCTTGGGAGTCATTTATCCCAAACTGGGTTTTTTCTTTCATCTTCTACCTCCCTCCTGTGAATGAGGATATGGTAGAAAGATTTTGGGCCCAGTGGCATATGTTTAGAATTTTTAAATTTTGCTTTGTCCTTTCGTTTATGGGGTAAGGGGGGAATGGCAAATTTATATGACTTTTCACTCAAATCTGTATGTGCCAGTTTATATGGACTCTGTATGCATGAGTATCTGTGCAACACAAGCACAACAAAGTATGTATATACACACAATGCACATGACGCCAGGGCCTGACATCCCAAGGGCTGTGCTCTGCTCCCTGCAGCCCCTCTTTGAGCACTTCAGACAGATGAGCCTCTGCCTCTTTCTTAAAACTCTTCTGGGAAGATATCCCAACCTCTCTTGGCAACACTTTCTAACATTGAATAACCCTCATCATCCACAAACTGTCTTCCTTATTTAGAACTTAACGCCCTCAGGACCCATTTTTCTGCTTTGCTCTTTCTCTGAGTTAGAAGAGGATGAGTAGAACCAGTCATACATTCTTTGTATCAAAAAATCAAGCATTCATATCTACAGAAATTACTCCTAAGTGACACCACACTCAGCCTTCTCTACCCTGAACTGAATTATCACCCTTCTCTCAATGTTTTCAGAGTTCTTACTGCCCACATTTTAATGGTGTGGTTTTTCCACATGTTCCACATTAATTCTCTGTATTCCTGGGTAGTCATGGAACTAAGGACAACACACAGTACTTGAGTAAGGATCCTGCCTTGGGTTTGTTTGTTTGTTTGTTTGTTTGTTTGTTTGTTTTAAAGGAAATTGTATTCCACATACCCCCTAATAATTTCTTATAAAAATTTTAAGCAACAATGCTACATTGTTACTGGCTTGTAGCCAGTTATGTTTGCCTTTGGGATTTGGGGTTTGGCTGTGTCCATACTTGAATTTAACTGTGCCATTTCTATGATTCTGTAACAACCCTACTAGGTAACTGGAGCTCCAGAGTTAAGGTTTTGGCTTCTAAACTATCTTTTTCAATTATATCCTTGACCTGTATGGACACAGCCGAAGTGTTATTGTTAATAGCCATCCATCTATCCATCCATGTGACTCTGTATTCTATTAACACACCAATAGCTCTTTCATAGACATGTGCTAAATGAAAGTTAAGAGACTAGTTTTTATTTTCAACATTACTCATATATCTCAATAGTATCTGAAAAATAATTTGTCAATTATTGTGTGCCAAGCATTCCTAATTTTTTATGGCGTGTGTGTGTGTATGTGTGTGTATCATGGGTAATAAAGGCAACTGGATGATGTCTGCAGGAGGAAAAAATAATGACTAATTTCTTCTAGTTGAAATATTTCATTGCTGCACATTTATTATGTAAGAAGTTCTGTCTTGGTTTTTGTTATTATTGCTGATTAGTATATGAATATATTTCTGAATTTTTGTAATTCTTGCCTTCATACCTGGATGCTAGACTCAGCCAATGCTTTTTTGCCCTGATAGTTTGAATGGAATTTAAAGTTTTACTTAAGTAAAAAAGAAAGTTTATTTAGGGAGTTGAGTTATCACGATAATTATAATTTATGAATATGAGTGGTGTTCTTTTCTGTATTCATATGCTAGCAAATATTTGATCTAAACTACAACATTGCATTGTTTGTAAAGTCTACCAATATGTCTTCAATTATTTTCAATGTTTCTTGATGATACATCAAAATACCATCATCCTACTAATAGAAGATCCTGTAAGGAATCGTGGCACTTAATGGGTTAAGAAGAAGTTAAATTTGGAGACAATATCTTGAAAACACTCTGGTCAAATTATTGCCCACAATTATTGTGGTTCTAATGAAAGTGTTGTCAAAGTCTGAGGTCTAGCTAAAATGGTCAAAGTTCCGACTTCCTTGAATTTCAGACTTAGCTGTAATGGCATCAAGATAGAGAGACATGCTAGTAAGAACTGGAGAACTGAGTTGACAGTCAACCTAATACTTCTACTACATACTTTAAGCAGGAAGTTAAACACTGCAGAAATAGTGTTTGTGGCACTGTTTTTACAGCCCTTGACCTGTCATGAGTTTTTTCTGCTCAGGCTTTCTTTATACTCCCAGTGATATATGTTTAAAATAACAACCACAATGACTGCAACATTTTTTTTTTTTTAAATTCCGGGCCAGTTCTAGACTGGTACCCACCCCATGGTAAAAAGTTCAGATAGCTAAAACAACAATATGGAGTTTATTTGTATGGGTGTTGATATAGAGATGCATATAGACCTGATCAGCAAAAGACTCTGAGGAGGCATCAAGTGCCTGGAAATCTTCAATTCTAGTTTGAGTGGAGTTAACAGGTGAGGTCCAGGTGACTGCAACATTGGAAACGAGTACTGTGTAAGTGAGTTATAAGATTAAATGCACTAGTAGCCCTGGTAATCACTGAGAACCAGTCATGTTTGCTGAAGTTAAAATAGTTTTTGGAACTTTTAATTCAGTTCTTAATGAAATAATATATATGGTTTGCTTCTTTAACATTAGTTATGATAAAGTCACACGTTACTGACACAAAGAAGCTAATAGCGTCAGATAAGTCAAATAAATAAGGAATTACATGCATAGATTCCCCAACTTAGATTGCCTCCTAGAGAAAACCTGCAATGCCAAAATCCAATGAGCTTGGGATATCATTCCCTAAAGGTATGTGGGTCTCCTGAAGTCAGAAACCTATTTCAAGTCTTGCCACTATCAAAAAGCAAGTCATCTATGTTCAGCAGGAAAAGGGGGATGACAGGGCCATAAAATTGTTAGATTGTATGATAGTGTGCTTTTCCTTCCCCTGCTGAGAAGAAATTGCACTAGATATGGTCATAAAACAACAGCGAAATGGCATCCTAAATATGCAGAGTTGTTATCCTTTGTTATCATAGGCTCAGTTATCTTACTGAAAATGCATGTGTGGTGAATTAAAATAAAAGGGGGAACAATGAGCAAATCATATGCATTCCCTATGCTCCTTATTCTTCCTTAGTCTATTCCAACCAATTCATTTTGGGGAGACACATTTATTAAAGGGACTTGTGGAAATTTTCACTTTTCAGTTAACCTTGTTTGATTCAGAGACATAGGAGTGTTGCTCATTCTGGGTCCTCTTAGTTACCACTGCTTGAGCTTCTGGATTCCTTTTGCTTCTGTGGGCTTTAGATTCCTTTCTGAGTATTCTTTGTGTCAAGTAAAAGATGCTCCCGTGAGAAAAAGAAAAGGTATATATGGTGTTTTGCAAAATTACTTGACACCAGCTCACAATGGAAGCCAAACTTTGATTCTCATATATTTTCTTTTGCTACAGTTTCAAACTTCCAACTTTGTAGCTGCTATAGTGCAGGTTTGAGCATTTGAGTACTGGTATTTTCTGCCACTTGATGCAATGCTGTGGAATTTAACTAACCTTGGTCTCTAAGTGATCTTTACTAGAATTAATAAGAGTTTTTCTGTGAGCTTTTTGGAAGAATTCTTTGTTGTCTCCACTTGACATCACAATTTTTGAAGGAAAAATGAAGGGAGTTTGTTTTTCCCTTTGGTGATGCTGTGACTGATAAATGTCTCTGCCAATTTGCATGCTGGGTTATAGGTTTAGCATGGGCCATTTCTCTCTTTAATGTCTTGATATCATTGGCATCTTGCAATCTTGATGGCTCACTGTTCCAATGTATTTATTTCCTTTTATATTGTCAAAATAACACACTAGAGGAAGAATCAGAGTGAGCATTCCATACTCTGAGTTACAATGGTGTAGATGTCATTTGTACAGGACTGCACAATGATTAATATTTACAGAGAAATTAGACCAAATGAAACCTTCTGGAATAAGTTTGATTTATATTGCCTTCATCATTCTGATTTTAGATGAAGTACTTATTGCTCTACACCCCTGCTGAAAGTCTTAAACTTTATTAATCACAGCCTTGTGATGCAAACAGTGCTTATTGGTTTGAAATTTCTATTTTTCTCATCTTGCTGTATACATTGAGATGGAGATTCTTTTCCCAGTGATCACCATTGCAAACTTTTTAGCAGTGTTTCTCAGTACTCAGGATGCCTAAAAATTATTTGCAGCACTAGCAAAAATACAGATTCCTTCACTCTAACTTCAAATAATCTGATTCATAAACTTGAAACAGGGCCAAAAAATCTGCATTTTGGGTTAGCATCCTTAGTAATTTTGATGAAAATTGCCCATTGACCTTACTGTGAGAAACTGCTGTTTGGTGAATATGCAGAAGTCAACATTTCATTCACTACCTAGAAGTACTTCCTCATTTTCTCTCACTTTCTTCCCACTACACATAAGTGAAAGCCTGCATTATTTATTATATTAAGAGAAAAGGCTTAGAGAACAGTAGGACAGAGTAGACTTCCATGATCCCTTTGTCATTTCATCTACCTGTCAACTATAAATAGCCTTTCCCTTATTGTGTGTGTGTTTGTGTGTTTTTTAATTGGGATGATGATGATGATGATGATGATGCCAAACTGAAAACCTTCATGATTATAGGTTTAGCCCTGGGTAGATGGGAACACATTTCTGAGCGAGATGTATCCTGATGATACCTAACAAGGAATTAAAATAACAGCCTTTTCCAAGGAGAGTTGTTCATTTCTAAGTCCTTCCTTGGTTTGAGTCGGAAGAGCTTGAGAGTGA